GCGAGACAACACACTCACGTGCGTATACGTACCGCCGACATCGACACACTTTTTCCCGCGAGCGCTTCCTTTCACGTTTCCAACTTTTTTCTTTCTTCTTCCTTCTGCCGATTCCTCCCATGCAAAGCTACCAATGTTCCACATGGCTAGCCCTTCCTCGCGTCTAGTCACAGCCATTCTTCCATATTCATTCCCCTTGTCTGTCTGTCTGTCTGTCTGTCTGTCTGTCTGTCTGTCTGTCTGGTGTCCGCTCGCCCGCCCCCTGCCAGTCTGGAGTCCCACACTGTAGCGCATGGAAAGCGTGGCCAAGCGGTGAACGAGGTGGGTAATAGAGGCATCAGTGTCGCGTCACTCGCGTCACAGTCGAAAACGAAAAGACCGCCATTTCACACACATTCCGACCGCACTGCTACGCCTCTGTCTCGCTCGCCAGTTTGGCTGTCACCTGCTACTCTGTCTGTCTGTCTGTCCGTCCGTCCGTTTTGTCGCGAGAGTATGCGGGCAGCGGTGCGCATAGCCGGGGAGGCCACCAGCAGCTTTTCGGCACCTTCCCGACCACGACGGAGCCCCCCCCTCCCTTCCCCCGCTCCGCCATTTTCACTTAGGTACTCAAAAAAGCAGCCAGCGACAAATTGAATCCTCCTCCGTTCGCGTTCGAACGCCTCCGTGAGTTATAGCCAGCCGCTACTCCCTCGGCCAGTCGCTCCGTCTCTCTCGACACCCACGCGTGCGAGCGAGACAGAGCGATGGTTCGGAAGGACGTGCTGTACGACCCGATGCACCTTTCACTCTCGCGGCTCGGGGACGGTGACGGTCCTTCCTTCCTGTTTTACGCGCTCTGTCTCTCTCGCACCCGAGCGGGACGCCCCGCGAGTGCGAGAGAGACAGAGCGATATTTGCCTGCTTCACTTTCCCCGCGGGGCGTGGCGGGGCGTGGCACGCACGGGGCGTCATTCGGAGCGCCAAGGTCACGCCCCGCACCGCCAGCACGCCGGGCACGCCACTGCAAGTACGCCAAGCCGCACCAAGCACTCCATGCATTATGCGGCTACCGGTCAGGCGTGTCTGCGATCATCTCGCGCGCACGCTCACACACACACACACACACACAGTGGCGCTACCCGACCGCAGGGCTCGTCTCGTTCTGGTCTCGGGGGGTCAAGGGGTCGGCCAGGGCGCCGCGGAGCGCCGGTCCGTAATTATGACGTCATTAACGACGCGATAATCCGAGCAGATCGTCGTCATCGGCGTGTTCGAGGCGTGTCCGCGGGCGCGGCGCTGCAGGGGGTGGGTGGGTCAATCGCTGCGGGGCCCTACAAGGAGAACGTAACGCCCCCCGCGTCCTCGTCGTACACATGTCGCGGCGTCGTTCCAATGTAACCGGGAAACGGGCACGGCGTCGTGGCCCGTCGCGCTGTCGCGCGGCCGCCGCTCGCCGGCCGGGAAAACATTTTAGTGTGTTTCACGTTCGGCCTGGTCGGTCGTGTCACAACGCGCGGCGCCACGGGGCGGGCGGCTCTCTCTCTCTCTCTCTCTTCTCTCTCTCTCTCTCTCTCTCTCTCTCTCTCTCTCCATCGCACACTCGCGGCGGGCGTCCCGCACGGGTGCGAGAGAGACAGGCAGCGGCCGCCCCCGCAACACGCCCCGCAGTCATTGGGTGATAGTCATCGCCCCGACCGTCATGGCGACCACCGCGAAGGAGAGAGAAGGACGCCATCCATTTCCTGGGGTCGCGCGGCCATGTCGCGGACAGTGTGTGAGAGAGACGGAGCGACGGGGTGCACTGCACTGCAGGCGCCAGCCAGCCTCTTTGGCAGCGGCCGGCCTGCAACACGTCGCCCTGATTTTGCCCGCAACATTTGCCGCAATTTCTCCGGCGCGGTGGCGGCCAACGGGACCTGCTGGGACGGCCGCAGCCACGGCCTCGGCCCTCCGCCAAGAGCAGGCCTCGGTCAGCACACTGCTCTCGTCGCTCCGTCTCTCTCGCACGCACAGGGCGTCCCCTACGGGTGCGAGGGAGACAGACGACCGGCCGGGCCGTCCATTAGCATCGGCAGGGAGATGCACCGATAGGCACGGAGTGGCACCTTCGCCTCGGCGCCTCGGCACCGCACTGGAAGTTCGGAACCCAGCCCCAGCCGGAACGGCGAAAAAAAGGAACGAGGAGAAGAGGAGTGGAGGGAAGGAGCGAGGCGCCGCCAGGCCACGAACAAGTGGGCCGATCAAGTCGAGTGCCCGACCACGGGAGCGAGCGCGCGCCTGTGTTGCGTCTGCTCATTCAGGAGATCTAAGCTCGGCTGCGTCAGTCAATGATCAGTCGCGATCACCCGACGCACGCTGTGTGTGCGTGGCTCAAGTGATTGTGAGCGGCGCGCTCCGTCTCGGAGGTCAGCGCATAGCGTCTGTCAGTCGTGGAGCGTCCGGCTAGCAAGCGAGATAGGCTGGCGTGCAGGATACCTGCCCGGCGACCTGCGCACCAGCGGCGTGGCCAAAGCTAACGTGGAAGCGTCCGTCTCTCGCAGAGAGGCGAGATGAGTGCGGCGGACAGGAGCACCGTCTCGGCGACCTGCCTGCCCGGCGCGCTCCCTTCTCCATTCAGGAGAGATTCATTCCACAACGCTCCGCGCTCCGCGTGCAGCGAATGGTATCAGCCGAGTGGACAGAGCGGACAGCGAGAGGCAGATGAGACCACAAAGTGCCATTGGTGCAGCGGCCGCGCTCCGGTCGCGGACCGTGGGTCAGCGGGGGGCATTCTGGTCCGCGGAGCCGCCCGGCGGGTAGGCAACCCGACGACACGGCTGTGGAGGCTCGGGCCGGCCAGGGCAGACAGGCAGAAAAATCTGCCGGGGCCTTCGGGTTTGGTACCAGTAACGTCACAAAGTTGGTCAAAAAGTGGTCAAATCTCGGAAATTTGCTGATTTTGAGTGGCCACTGTGTCCAATCTAGACGCCGTAAAAGGCCTCCCTCGACGTCCTAGTATTCTTAAGACCCTACGCTTTCATGCCCTGTATCGGGAAGACGTTGACCACAACGATTTTGGCCTTGACCGCAACGATTTTCCGACCAAGTTGGTCAAAAAGTGGTCGAATCTCGGAAATTTGCTGATTTTGCTGACTTTGGGTGGCCACCGTGTCCAATCTAGTCGCCGCAAAAGGCCTCCCTCGACGTCCTAGTATTCTTAAGACCCTACTCTTTCATGCCCTGTGTCGGGAAGACGTTGACCACAACGATTTTGGCCTTGACCGCAACGATTTTCCGACCAAGTTGGTCAAAAAGTGGTCGAATCTCGGAAATTTGCTGATTTTGCTGACTTTGGGCGGCCACTGTGTCCAATCTAGTTGCCGTAAAAGGCTTCCCTCGACGTCCTAGTATTCTTAAGACCCTACTCTTTCATGCCCTGTATCGGGAAGACGTTGACCACAACGATTTTGGCCTTGACCGCAACGATTTTCCGACCAAGTTGGTCAAAAAGTGGTCGAATCTCGGAAATTTGCTGATTTTGCTGACTTTGGGCGGCCACTGTGTCCAATCTAGTTGCCGTAAAAGGCTTCCCTCGACGCCCTAGTATTCTTAAGACCCTACTCTTTCATGCCCTGTATCGGGAAGGCTATGACCGCAACTAGTTTGGGAGCGGTAGACTCACAAAGTTGGTCATGAAGGGTAAAAACATAATGTTGATCGGGGACCTTTTGCGGTCTTATCCGCTGGGGCCTTTTGGGGGCCAGTCCGAGCGTGCGGCTGTGCGACGGCACGGCCTACCCGGCACGGCGCTCCCGCAGGCCATCCCGACCCTGATGACCGACCGAGCCCCGAGGCCGCGTGATCCACGACGGGGTCCACAGTTACTCGAGTTTGTCGCCCCTTTTAGTCTAATTGGGCGTGGACAGGTGGCTCTGCAGGCCGATTGCGAAGAGGGCTTTCGTCGCTCTGTCTCTCTCGCACCTTCAGTAACGCCGCACGAGTGCGAGAGAGACAGAGCGACGAAAGCACTGCGCTCCGCGGAGTCAGCCCGGCGGACCGCTCCGGCGGCGTCGCGGCGTCTGCGTGGCGGCGTCTGTCTCCAGAAACACCGCCGTAAAAAGATAAATCAAGCGAATGAAAATCGTAAAAACCGATACCGCGGTGTGTGATTTGCAGGGGCATAAACGGCCAGGGATTCCCTGTGCGTTGGTTCCGCGCCACCGCAGGGCGGTCTTCGGGTCCTTCGGTCGTTCCATTCCGCGTTTTACACCGCGATTCCACTCCCTTTACGGCGCGATTCGCGATACACAATGCAGTCGTCCCATTCCGAACAGAGTGGCGTCGTCTCTCTCGCACTCGTGGGCCGTTCCGTCTGGGTGCGAGAGAGACAGAGCGACCGGGGTCGTAAAGTGGCGATAGGCCACGACAAACGCGGGCCAAGCCGAATGACTCGAGTGTGGCTGCCCGGCTCCGTGCTCCGCGCGCTCCGCCACCGATCTAGGCGCGCCTCTGCCTGTGCGCGGCGCGCGCCGCGGCCGGTTCGATGGCCCCGCGGCCCGCGCCTCCGCTTCCCCTCCCTCCCCCTCGCCGCCCCGGACGCAGCCAGCGGCAGCCAGCGGCGCGGCGATCGGGAATCGGCAAATGAGCGGCCGGCGGACACAGAAAAAAAGGGATGGCACCTCGGAAGTAGCCACCGGCCAGTTGGCGTCGCGCTGGACGCGCTGCCCGGCGCTGCCATGCCGCTCGCCCAGCCGGACTCGGGCTGCTGCCGCTGCCGCTGACCAGGCCAATAAGGAATGAATAGGCGCGCCGGCTCCGCTGGCTCGGCAAACGAGATGCCGCCGAGATTTTCCGCTCCGCCGGACTTTTCCCCGGGCGAAGGGAGGGGCTGGCCGAGAGCGACGACGAGGAACGCGACGCCCTGGATGGCGACTAACTCGCCCTGCTTGTCTGCCCACAGGATGAGCCGCTCCGGCCCGGGCCCCGGACGGTGTCGGGCTCGGCGTCGAGGGCCCTGGCGACCCACCTGGCACGTCCTCGCCGCCGTCCTGGTCGCCATGGCCACGTCCGCGCTGGCACAGTGCCCGTGGCACCGCGACGTCAAGGAGCTGCAGTCGTCCTGCATCTGCGCCTACAACCTGGGCCAGGAGCTGTCCGTGCAGTGCGACATGGTGGACTTCCCCCGGCTGCTGTCCGCGCTGGACCGCTTCGCGCGCGACGCGTCCCTCGACCTGCTCTACGTCAACAACAGCACGGTGGGCAGCCTGGCGGACGACGCCTTCAAGCACCTGCGCCTCAAGAACGTGCAGCTGTCGGGCTGCCGCATCAAGAGCATCGCGCCGCAGGCCTTCCGCCACCAGGAGGCCACGCTCAAGAACCTCAACCTGCAGGTGAGTGCGGACCCGTCTTCGCGATCCCAAGGACGAGAACCAGGGAAGTACATTCTGTGGTTCTTGTGCAGGACAACGAGCTGGGCGAGGTGCCGGTGGCCAGCCTGCGCGGCCTGCGCAACCTCACGCTGCTGGACCTGTCCCGCAACCACATCGAGCGCGTCCCCGGCGCCGCCTTCGCCGCGCTGCACAGCCTGGCCACGCTCAAGCTGGCCGACAACAACCTGTCGCTGGCCGCGGACGCGTTCCAGGGCCTGGAGGACACGCTCAAGAACCTCAACCTCAAGGGCACGCGCCAGAAGCGCGTCCCCGAGGCCATCAAGGGTCTGCGCACGCTCGCCTTCCTGGACCTGGCGCAGAACGGGCTGCGCGAGCTGCCGGGGCCGGCGGGCGCGCACATCCTGGAGGGCCTGCACTCGCTGTCCGCCCTCAACCTGGAGAGGAACCTGATCCAGAGCGTGGGCGAGACCACCTTCCGGGGCGTGAGCGACACGCTATCCTCCCTCAGCCTGCTCAACAACCTGCTCACCGACTTCCCGGCCGCCGCCGTCAGCAACCTGCGCGAGCTGCGGGTAAGGGACTGTCTGTAAACGTAGCGCTCTGACGGGGGAGTCTCCCCGCCCCCGCCCCTCCCTTCGCGGCATCGACAAGGCGAAGTAGTCCCGATTCCACGACGCCCCCCGGCAGAAGCCACATTCTTCCCCCGAAAACAAGGCAGAAAAAAAGGAGTTTGGGGCGCACAATGGCGCGGGCCTCCAGTGCCTCCCACGGCCGATTACAGGGCCGGTCCGGTACAGACAGACTGCAGACCCCATTCTCGCGTAGCGGGCAAGCCGGGCGAACCGGCAAGCCGAGCCAAGCGGAGCCGCGCCGAGCAGGCCCTGCGGTCAGTCACGTGGCACACCGGCACACTGCCAGGCCGGACGCGATTGACACGCGCCGAGCACTCGCCGATTATTGCCCCGCCGCTTCCGGATTTAGGGTCGGCCCCGCGGTGGGGTCGGCACGGCGCGCCGGCTACCCGATTTAGGGTCGGCCCCCGGGGTGAGCACGGCGCGCCGGCTACCCGATTTCCGCGAACAGGCGGCTAGCTCGACGGCGCGTATTATGGATACCGCACCGCTGTGTTTTACTGCGCTGGCCGCCCCGCCCCGCCCCGCCCCGCCACGCCGAGAAGAGAGAATTCCTGGATGCACTGGGCTCGGGGCTCGTTAACGCGGTCGGTGGCGTAGCCAAGGCGCAGCTAAGCGCCGCTGGAGGCGGCTGGAGGCGGCTGGCCGGGTGTACAGAGCCATCGCATTAGTGACCATGATCAGGACGTTCCTTTTGGCGGCGAGGCGCGCCGGCCAGGCCGGGCGAGGCCCCGGAGTGCCCCGGAGTGCGGGGCCCGCGACTAAGCCACATTCCGCGTTTTAGCGCGCCGTAAAGGGTTACGCGCGGAGTAAAAACAGCGGACGTTTTCATTTTAGTTTTGCCCGGCCTGCGCTACACGATGCGTAACACCTGTAACTTTGTCTTTACTGCGGCGGCGCGCGCTCTAATCCTCGTGCCCGCTCGTCCGCAGGTCCTGGACATCGGCTTCAACCTGCTGACCGAGCTGCCGGCCAACGCCTTCCTGGGCACGCCGTCGCTCACGCTGCTGGCGCTGGACGGCAACCCGCTGGCCGGCGTGCCGGAGCGCGCCGTGGCGCACCTCAACACCACGCTGCGCGGGCTGTCGCTGGGCGGCCGCTTCCTCAACTGCGACTGCAGCCTGCGATGGGTGGCCGAGTGGATCGCCCGCGGCGACCTGCAGGTCACGAGCCGCGAGCGGAACCCCCAGTTCTGCGGCAGCCCCGCCCACCTCAAGGACCGCAGCTTCTACGCCATCCAGCCCAACGAGCTCAAGTGCCCCGGCGACAAGGAGGAGCCCGAGCAGCCCGAGGAGAGCAAGCCGCACGACGACGAGGACCAGGACGCCGACCCTCTGGACACGGACTACCACGTCGTGGCCGTCAGCTCGCCCGCGCCCACGACGCCCTCCTCGACCACGACGACGACGACCACGGTCAGGACCACTGCGGCGCCGACGACCACCACGACTACCACGGCGCGCCCCACCACGGTCGCCACCACGACGACAACGACCACCACCACCACACCGCCGCCGCCAACCACGACGACGACCACGCCAGCCCCGACCACCACGACCACCACAGCGCGAAACACGTACCGCCCGACGTACAAGACGAGGCCCACGACGCCACCCACCACGTCCACGACGCCGCCGACGACCACCACGACCACGACCTCCACGACGACGAGGCGCGGCAACGGGCTGGTGGCGGCGCGGACCACGGCCGCCCCCGGGGTCTGGAGGAGCAACGCGGCGCCGCAGGGCAGCGCGCCGCCCGCGGCCGCCAGCCTCCCCACGGTGCACGCCCCCGGGCACGGCCCCGGGCTGGTGCCCGGCCTCGCCCCCGGCCACGCTGGGTCCGCCTCCATGCACCGGCCGCCCCTGGTGCTGGGCTTCCCGGCCGGCAATCACGCCAAGCAAACCGAGCCCGAGGAGGTAAGGCACCCGTGCCGGTTGTTTGTCCCTTTACCCGCAGCCCTCCGTGACCCCGTGCCCCTCTACGCCCTTTGCAGGAGGTGAAGGTTCGCAGCGCCTACCGCCAGGACAGCTCCATCATCATCCAGTGGGACTCGCACACCGCCAACATCCTGGGCTTCCGCGTCGTGTACCGCCTCTTCGGCGACAAGAGCTTCAAGCAGGGCCCGCCCCTGGAGGCCAGCGAGCGCGAGTTCAAGATCAAGAACGTCCCCTCGCAGGTCAGTGGCCGTCTTAAATGTGAGTTCGAACAACGTGATTCGAATGCTAACCCTGCTCGCGTTCTAGGAGTGCATCGTGGTGTGCGTCATCTCGCTGGAGGAGGTGAACGTGACCCCCGAGATGGTGCCGTACAGCCAGTGCCGCGAGGTGCGCACCGTCACCTCGCCCACCAGCAACATGGACAAGATCACGATCGCGGCGTCGGCCGCCATCTGCGGCACGGTGGTCATCGCCGTGATCGTGTTCGTGGCGGCCAGCCGGCGGCGCACGCGCAAGCTGCACACGCTGCAGCAGCACGGCTCCAAGAACGGCATCCCCGCCGGCGGCAGCGTGGGCGGCCTCGGCCTCGGCGGCGGCCTCGGGCTGCCCGTCGGCTGCTGCGGGCCCACGCCGTCCCCGGCCGGGCCCCTGTCCTCGCTCGCCACGCTCAGCGCCTTCACCAACCACAAGGACTGGGACCAGGTGTCCGTCTACAGCAACCGCAGCATCAACAGGGCGCCCCGGATGTACCACGTCGAGCGGCAAGGTGAGTTACGTTGTGACCAGTGGGGTAGCAATGCGAACCCGCGGTCGCGGTAAGTCAAATGCCAATTTATGTAGCTGTTTGTTCGTAGCTTCAGGAACACAGGGTGTTATGCAGGGACTTAGTTTGGCTAGCAGTTCCCTACACTGTGTTTTATAATTTGCTGAATTTTTGTTCTTTTGTTTTTTAATCACACCCAGCTGAATAAACTCTGCCATGTCAATAATATTTGTAATTAGCCAGTCTAACATGATGAGTGTTTTAAAATGTTGTGTATTTAACATATGTAGCCTTAGTGTGGCTGAGTGGTAGCACAGCTTTTCAGTTCTCGTGAAAATGTGAAACTACAGCACCCTATTTCGCAGGCTCAATAAATGCTGGATGTGCTGCGGAAGATGTTCGCACACATGCTTCTCACTTCGCCAGCAAGCCTAAGACACGCTCCATCGCCGACGGCCAATCGCAGCACAGCTTCTCCAATCACTCTGGTCGCTACCTGTCCGGCAACTCCTTCGCCCCTGGTTTAGTAAACTCTCCGCAAGGTGCTTGTCCTCAACTGCCTGATTGCATGCTATCCTGCACAAGCTTTTATTTGTTTACCTGACTGCACAGTAAACTTAGAAAATGTGATTATTATTATCTTAAAATTAAAAACTGATTTTATGATTTAATACCAGTGAAGTTCAGAAGTAAGCTTACGCTTTGGGCTATATGTGTTCTAACCCGTAGATTACAAGGAAATAAATGATAGTTATGTGCAGCTAGCCCTAGGGTGAAACAACTAATACCATTGTTAAATGTTTCAGAGTTGCGACATTCTCGACAGTCGCTGGCAGTTTCTGACCGCATGTCCAGAGTGAGTTACCCAGCCAGCCATGCAACGCACCACCAGCCCTCTGTAGCGTCGTCGCGTCGCCAGCGACCCCGCTCACGCACCCGCGAATCTACAACGAACCAGTCTCTAGCTCACAGCCATGCCCCAAGCATGACCAGGCCAGGCAGTCGATACAGTGCTGCAGGTTCAACGCATACTTTGAATAACTACTGCGATACGTCAGACAATTGGACGGACCATGACATGGACATTTACATGGCTCGCAATCCAACAACAAGGACTGGATTAGTGCCCCTATAGCATGTAGCCGCTGGCACACAGCAACACAATCACACACCAACTTCCAGCGAAGAGAGTGAGAATGGATGGTTAAATCGTGTTAAAGATGTAACGCAAGGGAATAGAGCAGCAGTTGGGTCATGGAGTTACCGCAAAATTTGCTAAAGCAGGATGCAAACGAAAAACTAGATCCAAATTGGAAAAATAATAACATGCTCCAAAAAGGAACAAAATTAAAGGATGTGGTGGCTCCATCTGTGTGTATGTGTAAGATAGCTTCCAAAAGTAAGCTACTGTTGAGTATTAATGGGATGGCCAAAACAAATTTATAAATTTATTGAGGTCTCCCAGTTAGTTGTGTGCCAGCACACTGCAATGCATGCTGATGAAGTAATGTTATGTCGAGCTTCTAGACAAACTAATTTATATTTTAAATGTCCCACACAATTATATGATAATTTTGAATTGGGTACAGTCCATGCCAAAATCAATTTGAAAGCCAGCAGAGCCACAATGTGCCATGGTTCTGACAAAAAAAAATTATTCCATTTTCTGACTCCGAAGCATAGTTGAGTGCAAGAATTTGACTGAATTATAATTCTTCAGACTATTTCCACTCAAGTCTGTTAAGAAATCTGAGTCATAACAGGATATCTGTTATAAGGAGACAATGACAATTATACCAAAGAACTGCTCAAGGCTCATGCCTTCTTTCAAGTAACTGTCCAAACAATAGCATCATCAGTGACACCCCTCTAGTATTTTTTCCACTTCGTTTTAATAGAATGTAATCAATTTTTTAAATTATTGTTCGTTTCTAGGAGAAGCAGTAGCTGCAGCAGTTATTGAGAAATCAATAATTAAATTTAAATTTTGACATCGCTATAACAGCAGCAAATATTTCAAACCAATTATGGTAGCTGAGGTCCATGTATGGGCTTTCTCCAAAGGGAAAATAATACACAGAGAAAGGATTAAGCCCACTGATTAATGTTACCAAGGTAAAATCTTAGTTGCAGGATATATTTGAATCAATCATATCACTGCTCATTTCTGGAGGGAGCAAGTTCTGTTAAGCCTCTAAAATTTAGCCCTGACTTGCATGAGATAATATGTACTCAGAAGTGCAATATTATTAGTCAAAATAAATTATGTGTAAATAAACTGTTAAAGAAAGATAGGTATTCAAAGTAATCTAGGAGTAATCTAAGAAGCAACGTAATAATAAATTTTAAATTACTAAAACTACCATGACAGAACAGGCAGTTCATTGTGATGAACACAGCTACCTGCGTTTCTCATAGACACTAATTTAAGGACAATATACCAGTGAATAGATTACTAGATTTTAAGAAACTGTGAATTGAGTGACTGACATTGAACTTGTGACAGCTAAAGTTGAGTAAAATATAAGACATATGCCAATTCCGCTGAAGAGGCACATTCAGATACATTAAAAGTTGAAAAGGCTGGTGAGGAATGACAATTTTTATTTATGTACATAAGACACAATATCTTATTATATTTTTTGTTAGTAACGGAAATGCATGTAGTTTTTATGTGTGCGTGAGTGAACTTGCTTGTCAGTGTAATAAATTGTTTACATTGTTAAGTATCTATGTGTAGACACTTTAATAACAATAATGAAAATGTTTTCTTGTAAATAGTGTGAGTATCTGCATTGTAATGTATTGTAATATATGTAGCTTTCTTTTTAAAATTTCCTAAGGTCAATTTAAAATAGCTGAACTGACCTCAACAGTCAAAATTCGTGATTGTATTCATGACATTGATGTTGCACTGTATAGAGAGAACTTCATGGATCTGAATGTGTGCTATAAACACTTAGATTAGAAAATGTCCACATGACACTGTTGATTATGCACTCGCCTTTTCAGCTCTACAGTAACAGTATTTATATATTTTTATGAAATGCAATGTTTGTTTTGTCCGTAATATTTCTTTATAATAAACAAAGTTAAAAACTGATAATGTGACTTACCCTGGAATTGGAATGGCCTTCTCCCACCGGTAGCGCATCTCTTCGGTGAACTCGTACCACACATGAGCTGCACCAGGAGTGGAGCGACTGCTGTTGTACATGAGAGGAAGAAGCAGAGCCAAGCGCCACACCAGACTGTCAGGAGGCGCAGACTTGACAATATGATTGCGCTGAAAAAAGTAAAGGCAAATAACACTAATTTAAATGACTGGGACACATTTTCATTGATGAACAAAGAAGGAAACACTTACTTGGTTCTCTTTAGATGGACTTGAAAGTTTGCCTGTCTCAAATGATGGGTATGGATAAGGCACTGTTGTGGACTTCAAACGGAACAAGAAAAAGATGTTAGTCAGTGACAGTCATTTCACTTCACTTTTTACCTCATCAAATCACACAAAGTGAACTCACCGGATCTGTGACAGCATCTGGGAAGAGGTAGTACAGAATATCTTTCAGGCTTGATTCAGGAATGGCTCCCTGTTTGTTCCTTTGTCTATTTATGACTGAAGGGTTCCCAGTGATTACTTTGTCAAGAACCTTTGAAAAAGTTGGTACTTTGGACTCTGTGAGAGCGTCTAAGGAATTGCCAAACTTGGGATTTCGGGGACAATCTACAATGACTGGATCCGGAAGACAGGGAAGATTAGTAAACAAACTTCCAAGATCAATTATTGGCAAAGGCAGCGACACCATACAGTACTTACAGGGAGCCAAAGGCTCTGAAGACATTTTGCAAAGACTCGCAAGTAATTGGGATAGTTGAGGACCTTTTGCATTTTTTGCAAGTTCGATTTGCATCGACCACAAATGAGCCTGCATTGGTTCCAAATCAGAATAGCTTTGGCTATCGACGACCATTTGATCATTGAGCTGAGGCCATGTTGCTAGGAGATGCAATTTGCTGTAAGAACATAAGTTAATGTTATTGTTTGTCTTTATTTTACTTCTGGTATGAATTTCCAGACTATAGCAATACACTTACCTTATAGGATCGGAGCCTGTACCAAACGGAACCATTGACACAGAAGTAGCTAAATCAGTAGGGATGGAAGTTTTCCAAGGACTAAGCATTCTTAAAGTGTAAGTCAGACGAACTGCAATATTGATGGGGGGTGGCTGCTGACCTCTGCTAATTTTAGATTTAAAAGTATCAAGCAAACCTGAAATATAGAATTTTTGTTGACGGAAATACCATGAAGAAACATTTAATTTGGTAAATGTGTGTATTTGACCAGTACCTGTGAGGTATTTACAGTGTTGAGGGGTGCGTTCAAGGTGAACCATTTCATAATCCGCACTCAGCTCTTTGCCAAGGCAGGAGCCAAGATAGAAGTGCTGCCATAGTTCAAGGATTTGAACAAACGCAGGGATTTCACTAGAAAGATGAAAAAAATGTAACACATGTAGCTTGTTTTCATTTCAAATCAAATCTCAAATCTAATGACAAATTGAAAAAAAATTTACCATCCTGTAGCATGGAGGGCCATTGTAAGAGAGCTAAGAAGTATTTTTGCTTGAGTTTCTGACGTTATATTCCTGACATCACTTTTTAGCAAAAGAAAGTCTCTGATACCATAGAATTGAGCAATTCTGGGACAGCTAGCAACCTTAAACACACAGAAGAGAGACAGTAATTCTATAAGATTAAAAATCCACTCAGAAAGATTTCATTTTCACAAAAGTCAATGTAAATTTGGCATGAAATACTTACAGTTACGAAATCTCCGGATGTTGACATCATGTCCACCAGGCACTGAAGTTGAGGAACATTCGCTGACGGATTATCCGGTTCAGGCTCTTCGCTTGAAATGATCGAGGTGTCCTTCAAGCTCCATGATGTTAAGGAAAATTTCTCGCCTAAACATAACAAAGAAATCATAAGTAAACGAAGATGTAACAGCAAACGACTCGTAAACTTTCCAACAAGACATGGACGTTTCTTGATACACCACTATTATGACAGTTCATTCAGGACGTAATAGTGGATTTATTTTAATCTTTCATATGAATATAATCAACAATCGAAACAGGGAAAGAGTCCATTTCTTTGTTTGGAAAGTGGACACAGGGTAACATAACCTCCAGTGTAAGAAGCATAACCTCCCACGGCCACCACGACATTTAAGGCAACCGTTCATTACGATGACATAAGAAGCACAAGAAACACATAAACGAAAACATGCCTTCGAAATGAATTTCTTCCGTCTTTGTGGTCCATTCGCCATCGAGATCGCCCTTCTTGAGAGGCAGTCTTGTTTTCGGTTGGTTTAACTTCCAGTCGACAACTATTTTCTCAATACGATCAACGAACTCCTCCCAAGCCGATGCTGTAGTAAAATCCTGGTGGTAGACATCGGGGTCATCGACTTCCAAGTTCATTTTTCACTAAATTTCGTCCCCAGATCGGGGTTTGACAGCTGTTGTCTGTTGCTTTTATGGTCTGCTAGCTTGTTTACAACGGAGTGCAGCGCTACCAACATAACATTTCCGTCGTCTCACCACCGAAAGAAAGCCGTTTCCCATTCAGTACGCCGAACATTGTTATGAGTGGAATGGAATTAGTTTAAAATGCTCATTTTGAATAAAGCAGTGAACAATTATCGACGGGAGCGGGTAGTCTGGCTCAAATTGAACGGGGAGAAAAGGGAAGGGGGAAGTACCACCAGCGCCCCGCGATAGCAACAGGGCCAACAGGGCCCATTATTAGGCTGGTTTTCTTTCGTGGCCTCGCCGTCGACCATTTCTTAACAGCACTGCGGCCATGAATTTTCTCCGCGGCAGCCGTCGCCACAAAAACATAGTGTAATGTCTTCGCCGACGTCCGCACCCACCGCAGGAACAACAACAAGCAGAGAAGCGTTTTGACTTTTTCCGACGCAAACGACGAGATAACAGGTACACGCGGAACCATGATCACGAAGGCGGAGGTGGCGGTTTCCGCGGGAAAGTCGCGTGACGGTGACGTCATTGGATTCCCCCCAGGCGGCAACATGTCGCACCTGCACTCCTTCGAGAGCATCGCCAACCTGATGCACGACCTGGAGATGGAGCGCCTCAAGCGGCCCAAGCGGCCGCACCTGCAGCAGTGCGCGTGGTTCGAGAAGCCACCCGTCGTCTTCTCGTGAGTACCTCAACGCACCGCGGCACCGCCGGGCCGCCAGGCCGACCTCCAGGCCGGACAGCCTGGGGTAAATTTACCACCACACGCCCCCCGTCGTGCGGAGTAACATGTAGGGAAGAATACCCTCTCTCTCTGCCCTTCGGCCTTACGGTGTCGACGGGTAGCATGACGTCGACCTTGATCAGCCACCGCGCATCCGGCAGCCCCGGCAGCTGACTGACTCCGACCAGAGTCGCGCTGTCTCTCTCGCACTCACGGGGCACCCCGTAGGGGTGCGAGAGAGACAGAGCATCAGCCGGCTCAAGTGGGTATTGACAGCCCCGTGCCACACCCCCTCCGTATGTGAGGCAGCGGGTTGAGTCCGAAGACTGCCCGCGTCTGTCTCTCTCGCACCGCCACGGAGCGCCCCGTGGGTGCGAGTGAGGCAGAGCGACGAGGCGGCCCTCGGACTCGGCCTGCAGCAGGGCCCGGGACGGCGGCCTGCAGCCCCAGGGCCCCAGGCCAGTCGATCTCCGGCGTCGCCCTGCTCGACAGTCTCCACACTTTATGTGTGCGGCAGCCCCTCCAGCCAGTGTAGCAGCTGGCACTACTCCGCGACACGAACGCGACGGGCGACGAGGATAGAAAAACGGGAAAACGCCGGCCGTAAGGTGCGCGGGGTGACGGGCCGGGTGACGCGCGGCGGCTTGTCTCGTCACGCGCGTGACGGAGTGACACGGCGACAGCGTGACGCTCATAAGCCGCCGCAATCGCCTGTGGTGTTGTTGTGGGTTCGAATACTGACCCAGGTGTATTTTTGTTTTTGTTTTTACCGTGCTTCTCGTAGCTGTTAAGCGGCATTATTGGTCGTTCATTTAGCACTCTAATTCTAATTTCATCGCAATTTTTCTGCCACGCGCTATTTTTTGGATGCCCGTAGTTTTTGTTGACTGTGTGAAATCATTTCTGACGAAAAGTGTGAGGGAAGTTTCACAGTCTGAATATCGATACCTCTTGAAAGCAGGGGTCACTTGTGGGGTTGTGGGGCCGCGGGGCCGCGGGGCCGTGGGGCTGTGGGGCGTGGGGGCGTGGAGGCGTACACTTTGTTCGTGCGTTGTGGTGCGCACTGGTTCACGCAACCACGCCACCTCGCCGCCAGCCATCCATCTCCCGCTAACAACGAGCAACCCGCGAGCGTGTCTGGGGGATGTCGGCCCGACAGGCAGGCAGGCCAGACAAATTAGGTGGCGGCCTTCTTGTTGTCCGTCACTAGCCGCGGATCGATTAAATCAAAAGTCTCAGTTTGAAACAAAATCGCGAGCCCCTGTGGAGGGGCGAGTTTTAATGTTCGGTTTCGCTTAAGCAGGGGCAAGACAGGGCATCATGGACTCGCGGAAGGTGGACAACCTGTGGGCGACGCTGGACCTGCTCGTGGGCCCGGACAAGAAGCGCACGTCCAAGGACATCCTGGAGGACGTGGACGAGTGGCTGGACATGGTCCGCGCGCGCATCGCGGGCGCGCGCGCCGAGGTGGCGGGCGAGGGAGCGGCGGCTGCGGCGGCCGCGGCCGCGGCGTCGTCCGGGGGCGGGGGCGTCGTCGGCGAGGTCGGCGGGGGCGGCCGCGGGGCGGCGGGCGGGGGCCGCGGGGGGCTGTGGGGCCGCGGCATCCGCGGGGTGTTGGCGCCGGCGCCTCAAGACAGCCCGGTGAGACGAGCCGCCTCCGCGTCGGCCGCCTCGGCCGCCGCCAGGGAGGCGCCCGCCGGCCAGACCGCCGCCGCGCGCGCCCTGAGCGCCAGGGCGGCCAGCACCGGCATGGCGGCCATGGCGGCCTACTTCGAGGACAACGAGTCCGAAAGCGACAACAACAACGCCAACCTGAAGCACTCCAGGCGCGCGTCCGCCGCCGGCAGCAAGGGCCGCCGCAAGAGCAAGGACCCGGGCGACATGACGCAGATGCTCATCTGCAGGTCAGACCCTTCAACCGCCCACAAACCACGTAGTCACTGCAGGACACGTCCGCGAGGACACGCACCGCACAAGGCGTAGCTGGAACCCATTGTCTCCTCGCACCCAGCACCAATGCTCCAAAAAAGGCACCTGCGAAGTGCCAGTCTTGTGCACCGTCATCGCAGGCGTCGCGCGATCGCACCAATATGACTCATAACAGAGCGTGCCTCGTGACTGACAGGGAGAACGTCTCAGCAATTTTATGCCCTCTCCCTCTCGCCGAGCACTTGACGCCCCCCCCCCCCCCACTACCAGCGAAAACACAAGCTAATTAATGCCCGGAAAGGCAGCCCCTCTCCCTCAAAGTCCGCCCGGGGGGCAGGCGAGGCAGGCAACCCTTCCTTGCCCTTTGCTCCGACTTTGTTTATTTTCTGTTTTCTTGCCAGCTTGACGTCAGGCGCGCCTTTGGCAGCTCTCCTGTTTTTGACGCGCTCTGCAGATGCTTTCCTTCGGGCCCGTTCGGCCCCTTGGCCTTTCCATTTCGTCCCCTGGTGCATCCGCATGGTCTGCATGGCGAGGGTCGTGGTGGTCGTGGCGTGGCGGAGGTCAAAGTCAGCGTCTGGCCTCGGCCGTGGCCGCCGTGTCGAACCGTCACTCTTCGTTCTTCGTGGAGGCCGGGAACCGAACCGTACCCGCGCGGGGAGGCCGCCAGGTTGGCGGTGCGGGACTCGAAGCAGGGCCTATCCACTAGAGCGTCTCTGTCTCTCTCGCGCCTCCACGCCAACGCCCTGTGAGTGCGAGAGAGACACAGCGACGAGTCAGTCAGTCGATCGGAGGAGCTGTCAGGGTGTTGCATGCCGCCGGTTCGGTGACGGACGGCAGTATTGAGCAGCTGGATCTAGATGTGCACAGTGTGGTGCCGAGCACTGCCCTGCCGCAACCCGGTACGCAAATACGCAGCTCTGTTAGCCGAGAGGTTAGAGACGTAGCGCCCTATCAGCAGGGACCAGGGTTCGACTACTAGGATCTCGAATTTTTTTTTCCGGCTGGCTGTGCAGTGGGGGCGGTTCGAGGCCATTAGAGCGGAGCCGTGTGCAATAAACCCACATGTCGGAGGTTCAACTCCTCACAAATATTTATTTAATTTTACTGCCGCACCCAGTGCGGTTCGAACCCGTGATATCAGCCAGCCTCCACCAAGAGCCGTGGTGGTCTAGGGAGTAGAGGCGTCGGTTTCCAGTGCTAGGGTCGGCGGTTCGACTCCCCCAACTTCTTGCGAAATTTTGACCGGGTCGGTCGAGTCCTGTTGCGTCAAGAACCCACCTCACGCCGATCCCCCCATCATGGGCCGTGGTGGCCGAGAGCGTAAAGTCGTGTGATCCCGATGCCGGGGTCCAGGGATCGAATCCCATCATTTCATTACATTTTTCGACCGCCTTCCTCCCAGTGCAACTCAAACCCGTCGTCCAACACGCTGCCAGACGTACAAGCGTGATAGCGTAGTGGTCAGAGTCACATTCACCTGGCCACTCCGCTGTGGGTGTCTAAAAAGCAATCCGCTTCGGCGGGTTGGCCTCGGCACTGGAGCGATGGAGTATTTGATCCATCAATCCAGACCATCCGGTGTGTGGTTGCGGGTGGTGCCTCCTTGACTCGTCGGGGAGGCGATGATAAGTCCTTTGAAGCTGGCCTAAAACGCTGTATGTTCGGTACGGGAGCGCCGGACAGTGGGGGTACCATGGGGTACACAACCAACCCTACGAAAACAAGAAGCTCCCACCAAACCTCTTCTCTGTCTGAGTCTCTCTCTGTCTCTCTGTCGTCTCACTCTACGTCCCGCCCCTCAAAGAGCTTCGTACTGGGTGCTCTCACCCAGCTGCCTGAGCTTTGGGGTCCTACTGGGTCCCCCGGCGAACGCTTGGGTCGCTGACGGGATTAACCCCAGGTACCTGATAGCACCGGTTCCCATCCCGAACACCGAAGTAAAGCAGGAGGCCTCCCCATTAAGACTGGGGAGGGGGTGTAGAGTTCAAATTTTTTTCCTTTCCCTTTCAAATTTCTTGGTTAATACTCGTTTGGTTTTCTTATACGGGGTAGTATGCGGACCTTGGACGAGCGGGGCGCCATTTTGCAGGGTCCGCTGGGCTGGCCACCCGTTTCCAGGACTGTCCTGGTCCAAAGCGTCCGTTTCTTTTAGGACAGTCCTGGAAACGGGTGTCCGGCTCTACGCGAACCATGTTCCAGACCGCCCAAAACACGATATCTTTCCCCCGCTGGCGAGCGTGCTGGAGTATTCACCCCTTGTCGATACCCCGTTCTCCGCGGCGGCGATACCCCGCCCCCTGTTGCACCGCCGGCCACACAGAGGGCGCGGGTCGCGGGTCGCGGCCGCGGCAAGGGCACCAAGTCAACTCCCTCGCTCCTAGAGGCCCTGGGCCGGGCCCCGGGCCGGGCTCGCCGGGCTAGCCTGGGGCCTGCACTGGGAAAAATGCTGTCGGATGTGGATCGAAGCATCGCATCAACTTATCCGCAACCAATCCGCTAAGTGAGCTGGCGGGCGTGTGCGTATGTGTGTGTGTGAGTATGCTAGTGGAGGGTAGGGGGAGAGCGACGTAGTTGAACCCGAAAGACCCCGATAAAAATGTCAACTCCGGCGTGCAGTCCAAATTTCTGAGTGCGAGTCGGATGATGACCCAAACCGTCCGGGGCGCTTCACCCGCCCTTGCCCGTGAAGGCCGTGGACGCCGTGAACCCTGAACCGAAATAGGCGCGATGGCGGGGAGGAGGGCGGCGACACTGTCATCGGCGAGGTGACAGGCCGCCTCATGCCCGCTGGCAGGCGGGGCGGGGCGGGGCGGGGCGAGGCTTGCATCTCTATCCGGTACGGAAAAAGGCATGCATCCCTGGCGGCTCGAAGGCGTGAAGGCCAAGGGCGACACCTTCCAAGCCGTCGTCGCCGTCGTCAGAAAGGCGCAGTCTCTCGTCCCCGGGGACTCGCGCAGCACGGGGAGGGTCTCCAGGGCGTCCGGCAGCCCTCTCTGTCCGCCCCTCCGATGGCCCATGGACGACCAGCA